GAGTGGAGGAACCAGGACTTGATTGTATATAAAAGGCTACAGAACCTTGTTCTGATATTGAAACTAAATTTCTGGCATAAACCATTTGCTCAGAGGCATTCTTGTTCCCCAGTTCTTCCCCAGATAGTTCTACCCTGAGCCACTATTTTCCCTGTGACTCCATTTGGTGGACTGTGAGGTTGGAGTAAAAAATAAAGTTGCTGTTAGAAGGGCTCGTGTCTGACTTAGAGGATGGGCTTCCCACATTCTTTTGTAATCTAACCCACTAGAAAAGGAGTGCTTTTGTACTTTTGCCTTGATGGAAAGCAAGCCAGTTTCTCTTCTGCTCTTAACAATGCCCCTGATGTAATATTAAGGAAGTTCCTGAAGAGCTCTAAAAGCTGGTATTGTACCATCTCATTAACATGGCACTGAATGTGAACAGTAATTTTTCTAACCTAGATCTTGATTCTAGCTACCATCAGGTTTCCTCTCCTGCCCTTAAAGAAATTAAAAACAACCTATGCACATTTAAACATAATTTGTGTCCTCTCCAGGAAAGAATGTTAATTAAAATGGATCTTTAAATATTTGAAGCTGTAGGCTTATTCTGCTTGAAAACCATCCATGGCTTGGTTACCCTCTTAGGGGCTTCCCATTGAAATCAACTGGGAACCGAATGTTAAACTTGCACAGACTGTCCCCTTCGCAGGCTGGAAGTTCTCTGCAGCAGAGTCTTTTCTTGCCCTGTTCAGCATCTGGCACACAAGAAATGCTGGAGAGGTACCTGGATGCAAAAGCGACTTCTCTAAGAACCAAAATCATTTTGAAGGAAAATGTTCATTCTGGGCAGTGGTAGTGCCTGGCCCTTGACTTCTTAGGTTACGATGTTGCCAGTAGTCCTGGGTTATTTGTTTGGTTTCTTTCTTTTTTTGGTTCATGACCAATTCCTGGTGCTTATTTTACTCTGTCAGGTACCTCCAGAATAAATATGCAAGCCAGAGTGGCAATGATGTGGTTCTTGGGTATAAGGGGCCACCCGGATTAAACTGGAACCTTCAAGCTTGCTGTGCTTGTTTATGGAAGTGACTTCTGGGAGCCAGTGTTTTTCAGTTTGCTCTGTATATCCTGCTCGCTCTAAGTCAATATCATGTCCTGAACTTTCTGTCCCCATGCAAGCCATGTTAGGGAGAACCACTCGTTACGGGTTCTTTGGCACAAGCTGAAAACCTATGCACATTTGCTTGGCTGTAAACGCCATTAAACTGAATAAGGCTTACTTCTGAGTAAATATGCATAGGAGTGTGCTTACAGTCCTGCCCTGGAGAAATGTAGAACTGAAATGCAATGGAGAGAAAAGTGAAGGCAGAAGATATTGAAAGACAGACAGAAAGTATAGGGCAGATTTGCATGTAACTCTTTATTGGAACCATTTTTTTTTCTTAACCAGAGTTTGCCTGGCATTGTTCAAACAAACCATGGTTTTCTCTCTCCCTGGGTTGTGTTTCCTTCACATGCTTCCTCCCTCTGTCCCAAAATGCCTTTCTGGCAGTGTACTATTGTCATGTAGAATGGCTAGTTGTTGCTTTTTTTTAACCTCTCATGCCCATTGCCTCTGTAAAGGGGCAAAACAACCCATGAAAAAGCTATGCTTCTGGATTGTTTGTGGTTAACAATCCATTGCTAACTCATAGTAACAGGTTTGCAAGTAAGTACAAGATAAAGCATCATTAATTAAACATGATTTCCTGTCCTTTGTGAACCAGGTCATATGAAACTTGGGTCGAATTAGGGTATTTTGATTGTAGGCAAGGCTCTGTGTATTGATTCTGCAGTTCCATTGCACAAACAAATCATTTGATCTAGACACAGAATTCACAATCCCAATCATCTAATGTATTTTAATTGGTTTTCTTGTTTATGGGTTAAGTATTGTTGTAAACTACACAGAGAGCCCAGGTATGGGCTATTGTAGCACCATACAAACCGAAATAAATAAATATATAAATTTATTTTAACCTGTTTTAAAACTATCAGCTTTCCCTTTCTTGTTTCTATCCTTTTGTACGCAGCCTTGAAATATGATGTCATGAAGGGTGGTATTTAAAAAGTTTCAAACAAGGTTGCTTAAACTTAAAGTGTGTTTAAGTGTGGTCATTGCATCTGGGCAGAATTTCCAGTAATGAAGGATAGGCAGGCATTGGTGCCTTTCATGGTTGTCTCTCCCATCAAGAGCAGAATAAATTAGTACATCAAAACGATTTAGTTTGCATCATTCCATCATTTCAAAATGGGTGCAAAGCTCAGGATATTAGAACTTCACACAGGGAACCAGTGTAACATAGTGGATAACAGCGCTAGACTGGAACTCAGGGAATTTGACACTCACTGGGTGACTTTGGGCCACCACACTCTCAGCCTGCCCTACCTCACAGGGTTATTGTTATGAGGTTAAAATGGAGAGGGTTTGTGAGCCTCCTTGGCTTCCTTGCAAGAGGAAGAAAGGTGAGATATACAGTACATGCAATGTAATAGTAAAGGTGATCGTAAGAATAATAATAAATGTTTTGTTGCAATGGGTGGGGAAGCACATCACTCCAGTGAGATTAATAAGTAGCTTTAACATTTTTCTTGAACCCTTTGAAAATGGGTGTCTTTGGGGGAGTATGTGCCATTCTCATTCTGAACAGGAAATGTAGGCTTGTACCCTGGCTTTGCACATCAGAGTTCACCCTGCTAATTTACACTGCAGTAAGAAATAACCCACAGGTCTGACTCCTGGATCAAGATTAATTGGTTGATTCATCCATTCATTTTTGGTTTGGGTCTCTCACATTTTTAGGCTGCTGAGCACATTTGGCATTTTGAGACGGCCTGAGTGAGAGGGCTGGCCTGTTCACGATTGACCGCATGGCCAGTTCAAGATACCCATTTCCTGGAAGACAAAGTGATTAGATTTTTTAAAAGTAACTTGCCCCAGAATCAAAGTAGAAAGCAAAAAGTGCATCTGAGCTCCCAAACACAAAACTGCTATTTTTAACCCAGTTTTCTGCTCCAACACCTTTTACACAGAATACAAAATGATATGGCTGAGAAACTAAATAGAAAGGAGAAGTGAAGTTGGTACCGAAATATCAATTCATGTATCTATCCTAACAAAGCACAGCAGATGAGGACATATTTGATTTAAATCAAATTGATTCAAGTCATGATTTAAATCAATAGTGAGACTAGATTTAAGTCATGGTTTTCTACATAATTTGCATGCGAGCTTGCCTAACCCGTAGGTAAAATACCCCCAAACTGGGTCTCTTTTACAGCCTGCTGCCATTATAGGTTTTCTCCCCCAGGGAAAAATATGATAAACCTCAGGCTATACAGAAAAAGTTCCACAAACTTAAGGCGTGTTCAGCTCAAAAGGTTTCACTTTCATTTTTACTGCTTGCCCCTCCCTCCTCACACTTAACTTCTTGTGCAGATCTATTCTGCTTCCAAAAATCTTTTCATTGAATGTTTGGCAGCTTAGTACTGAAGAGGTAAAGGGATGATTCTGTATACATAGATCTACAAAGTAACAATGGGATTAAGGTCTTTTTCTCAACTCTATGTTTATTTTATAACATTTTTGCTGTGAAGAAGAGGCATGTGATCTTTGCAGCCACAAATTCACAGTTTTGAGAACTGTAAAACCAAGCATCTGTGATAGTATCTTCTAGATAGAATAATTGCCCAATAATCTTACAGAAACCTCTGGAAGAGCATGACATTGCAAATGGATTAATGAAATTCATTTACCAAAATATTTAAACACTGCATGAATATACATTCTCATGCTTCATAATTAAAAATTAATCTTTATTTCATAATGAATAACCTTTGGACTATAATGTATCTTAAATAGAAAACTATCTTTACATAATTTGTTTCCTCAAAAAGTATTTTATTTAAAAAACAATTTAAATAAAAATCTAATTTCACCAGGGCTTTTATAGGTTAAGCCCACCACACAGAATCGGCTTTCACAGGATTGCAGCCTTCCTTCTCAGCCTCTTTGCCTCTGTTGTGTATTCTTTCCTTTTCAGGCCTGCATCCAGCCGTGGTATGTCCCTCCTGAAGCCATGGCCCTATTTGCCTCAGTGCTGGGGAGAGTACTGGACTCCACTAACATGGTCTCTGACCAAGTCAGTTCCTTGTGTGGAACAGTGAGAAAAGACACAATTCTCCAGGTCAGCCCAAATGCACCACAAGGGAGACACCAGAAAAGGAGAGAGGGTGAGGGAGAAAAGTGCCTTAAATAAGTATATCTTACTGCCCCAGCCCTGGCCTGAACCTAGCCAGATGCTGTGCTCCTGCAACTGGGTCATTTGGCTCTCTGTTGGCTTTAAAATCCCCCTTCCCGAAAGTGGCCTGCAAGCCACCAGGGGCCAGGAAATCCTGTGCCCACTCAGCGGGTGTTTCATTTCCAGGGTGAGAAGGCGCAGGGGATTCAAGCCTCCTCGGGCCTAGAACAATTCCGAGACACGTGGAGGGGGGTCGCGGCACCCTGCACATGCTCAGAGGCATTCCTGTCTTCCTCCGGATTCCAGTGACTTTCAACAGCAGTTCGTTTCAGAGTGTCCCGAGGCTGGGACTTGACACTGAAGAGAGGCGGGGGGGTAAATACGGCTGGCTGGAGGAAAAGTTCCAGGCCGGCTGAATGAAACAGGGCTGAAGAAAGCCACCGCCGAGTCTCCTGGCGACGTTTCTGCCTTTCCCAAACGGGCGAAGGGAGGCAGGCGGGTGGCCTCTCTCGCCGGGCAGCCTTTTAATGGGCGCCCAAAAGAGGGCTTGTGAAGAGGAGGGAGGAGGAAGAAAGAGCAGCCCTGCAAGAAGCATCGGATTAAGCTGCGGCGCTCTTCCCGGAGGGAAGCCGAGCGTCCCTCCCTCCTCCCTCCCTCTCCCCAGCCAGCCCCCTCCCCTCCCACCGCCTCCGCCTCCTCCTGCCCCCCCGCCCCATCTCTACCTACCTCCACCGTTCCCTCGTGCGGCAGGAACGAGGCAGGAGCTCAGCCGCCGTCCGCTGCCTCTTTTCGAGCGGGAAGTTGGCACCGGGCAGCCCCTCCGTCAGCGAGGCCGGGCGCGCGTCTCTCCCCGCAGGGCAGGCGCACCGAGGCAGAGGGGCTGCCGGGCCCTGCGAGCACGCTTCCTTCCCCGGCCAGGGAGCGGCAGCCTTTTCCCCGCGTGGAGGGGTGAACAGGAAGAGCCGCGCGGACCCCGCCATGGACCCCAAGGAGAGGAAGAAGATCCAGTTCTCGGTCCCTGCGCCCCCCAGCCAGCTGGACCCCAGGGCCGTGGAGATGGTAAGCGGGGCGAGGGCGCGGGGCGCGGGCTGGCGAGCCCAGGGGCACCGATTTGTTGGCGGCTCCTCCCGGGAGGCGCGTCCGATGCGCCGCTCGCTCTTTGATGCCCGCGCGCCTTGCCCGGCTAAGCCTTGAAGCACCCCGGGCTGGACCCGGGCTTCGCGTATTTCTCTTGAAATCAGCAGGACTTTAATCAGTCATGACGAACTTGATTTCATTGGGTTTACTTTTAAGTATGGCTAAGTCTGGAGCCCAACCCATCCTGTCGAAAGTAAGACCAAGTGAAGTAAATAGGACTTAATTTTGAGTGGTCAGGTTTCTCCTTATTTGTATTGTGATGGTTTGATGTTCTTTAAAAATAGTTTTATTGTAATTTTAACTTTTTATAAGGAAGCCAGGGAACATGGGATATAAAAATAAAAAAGAAACAGTCACATAGGTATTTAAATTCCTGTACATGCAAATCAACCTTTGACTATATTACAAAATGCACTGCTGAAGCCAGAGAAGAAAAAACTTTAAGACATTTAAGACCCTTCCTTAAAATATTTTCTTCCTGCCTTTCCATAGAAACATGCATACATGAATATGTCCATGCTCTCATTCGTTAATCTTGTACACATGTCTGCACATTTATGCACTTACATACCTGTGGACCCAGCCTTCCCATTTCTGCAAGGATACAAACTTTCTCTATACTCTCTCTTTCCCTTTTTTCTATACTCCTACGTACAAATTCATACACCCTAGCTTTTCACACTTGCCTGTATGTTTTCTGCAGTTCTTGCACCAGACTATGCAAACACAGACATTCATGTTAACTGCAGGAATCTACACTTTGAAAACCTTGGCTTTCACATTTTCAACAAATAGTGCTTCCAGACAGAGGTGCTCATAGCACCAGTGATTAGAAGACGTTGTGCAGCTGTTCTATCTTTTTCTCATTAACAGATTTTGTGCATGAAGGAAAAAGACAAGAGAAGTGGTAAGAGAACACAGGAGGGTCAGAAGTACAAGACTGTGGTTTACTCTAGGAATGAGGCCAGGCAACAGTGCCATGAAAGCCTCATCTGGAGGTACCCCAGAACTGTTTCTAGTTCTAATGGCTTTGGAGACAAACTGAGCAATGCCTGCTGCAGCTTTCCCCAACCTGATGCCCTCTAGCTCTGTTGGACTACCAACACTATAACCTGCAGTGACTGGCTGGGGTCAATGGGAGCTGAGCACATCTGGAGGGTGCCTGATCAAGGAAGGCTGGCTGGCAAAATCTCTGAAATGGTTGCTACACAAAATTTGCAGTGGTCAAAGGGTGGGGCTTTGGTGCTCTGCTTTTTGCTCCTCCCCATGACCAGCGGAAGAGAATGCATTAAACAAAGTAAGCACACATGTACACATTTACAAATGACTGCTTTTCAGAATTTGGCTTACCAAGGTTCAGGAGTGAAATTTTAAGCACAGGCACACATACATGAACATATCACATAAGAATAACCATGTAATTTGCATACTAGACATGCAACATAAATTGTTATTCATTTCTAGAAGCATGAGCAAACCCAAAATATGTACTTCCAAGGCTGAATGATAAGCATGTGTGTGCTTTGCTACTGAAACAAGTGGAACTTAACTGTGTCAATGTCAATACTATCAGGCACATACAGAGACAGAGAGAGGAGAAACTGCAGAGAACTGCAGCCAAAACCACAAGGATGCATAAACTGTTGTCCTCAATTTCAGGATGCACAGATTTTGTTAAATCTATTCTGTCTGTCTTTTGCTGATTGTCAGATGTCTTTCATTCTGCCATCCATTCACTGACAGAATCTGAATTCATCAGAATGTCATTCTATTTACACATATTTGCATTAGTTAATTCAAAGTAGTGCCAATGCATATTCACTAATGAGGATTGTGCATTTGTACAAGTGCCTACTAGCACTAATGTGCAGTTGCATGGCTACACTAGTGGCATTAGAATTAGTGCAAATTCCCACCCATGAAAACTCAGTGACTCAGAATCTGAGTGACTTAGGAAATGCTGCAGAATACGCATGTTGGAATCATACAGATCCGCATTCATTTGAATCTGTTGCTGATTTCTCCGACATCCTCATCATAACTGTTAGATACGAATGAGTATGGGGTGGAAGGACAGATGGTAAACAGTGGTGGAGGAAGGCCATGAAATGCTTCTTAGAATTCATGGCCTTTTGGTCCCTGTCTTTATGTCCCCCACCCTTCTGAACTCATGTGGATATGTAGGTCTTCAAGATGTCACATGATTCTTTGTTTCAGACCTGCTTATATCCATTCTGCATGCTTAGCAAGCCTTAGGAAGCACTGGCCCAGAATGGAGAACACATGAAGTACTGCAGTTCTGAAACTGAGCATATGTCATCCCTATCTTCAAAAAATGGGGGGATGAAAAGGAAGATATGGGGAATTATAGAGCAGTCAGTCTGACATCAAGACATGGAAAGCTGATTATAAAGCATTTGCTCTATAGTCACTTAACTCTAATACAGAGATCGCTGGCAACCAACATGGTTTGGTCAAGAGGTCCTACTAGAGTTTGTGTTTCTTCTTCTTCTTCATCATCATCATCATTATCAGTTCATTTTTGACTGAGTAACTTCTGTTGTTGATCATGGAAATGTATCATATATGTTGACTTCAGCAAAGCATTTGACCAAGTGCCCTGTGATATTCTGAACTGCAAGATAATTAGCAGTTACTTCATAGATAACTGGATAGCACTAGTTTACGGGGGGGGGGGGGCACATTTTCTGTGCGTGTTAATGGTACACTTGAAAAGGAACTTGGGAGTTTATCACAATCAGTCATCAGTGTGGTATGGCTGCAAAACATAAGTTTGCAACTGATGCTGATGTAGATGGTGGCGTCAATAGAAGTATATTTTCAAAATCAGGAAAAGTTGTAGCTCTACTGCATTCTGCACTGGTCAGATCACACCTTGAATACTGTGTCTAATTCTGGGCACCACACTGAGAATCAGAAAAATAAGAATGAGTTTGGAGAAGGGCACAAAGATGAGCAGAATGGAAACTAAGTCTTATGAGGAAAGAGTGAAGGAAATGGGGATGTTTAAACTTGAAAGGAGAAGACTGTGGGGAGGGGGATATTATAGCACTTTTAAAGTACCCAAAAGATAGAAGCATACAATAGTAGAGTAGGAAGGGACCAAGAAGACCATCATGTCCAACCCCCTGCTCTTGCAGGTCACCAAGTTACACCATTCCACTCAGATAGCTGTCCAGATTCTTTTTGAATGTCTCTAGTGTGGGAGAGCCCATGACCTCTCTAGACAACTGGTTCCACTGTCATATTGCTGTGACAGTGAGGAAACTTTCCTGATATCTAGTCTGAATCTGGATTGTTGCAACTTGAGTTGATTATTCCATGTCATACACTCTGGTATCAGTGAGAAGAAAGCTTGACCTTCCTCTTTGTGACAGCCTTTGATGTACTTACAGAGTGATATGTCCCCCCTCAGTCTTCTCTTCTCAAGTCTGAACATGCCCAGTTCTCTCAGTCTCTCCTCACAGGGCAGTGTTTCCAAGCCCTGGATCATTTTTGTTGCCCTCCTCTGGACCCTTTCTAAGATCTAGACAGTCCTCAATTCTAAGACTGTCAGACAGAAGGGCGGCTCTACAATCCAAGGTGGGGGGCATAAAATTTGGACTTAGGCAACAAGGAAGTGTATTTCAGTGGAACATCAGAGAAATGCTTACAATGTGCAGAACAGTCAGAGGAGCCAACTGCCCAGGAAGGCACCACTGGAGCTTTTCAAGCAGAGACTGACCAGTCATCTCTATGTGATGCTTTTAACTGGATTCTTCCACTGAGCGGGGGCGGGTGGGAGCCAGTTGCCTAAATGGCCTCTTCCAACTCTGTGATTCTGAGTAGACCTTTCTGGAATGTTTCCAGGCTCTGAGTGAATTCAGCAACTCTCTCCTTCTTTCTCCTTCAGCATTCAGGGTATACTGTTCTTGAGCATGGAAATTAATTTAGTAGCCACATTAGTCTTTGCATTTGTCTGAATACTCCTCTCTAAGCCGCGGTTGTTCTTCTCAGCCTAAACATCTGCCTAACATACTGGTTGTTTTTTTAATGAGCGTGGAGTTCTACCTCCTCCCCAAAGGAGAAACATTCAAATATGCCATTCCTCACCTGTGGCCAGGAAAAGATTTACTACTTGGTGGAGGACAGCAGTTCAGGGGTAGCGCTCACACTCTGTGCACAGAAGGTCCTGACTTTACTCTCGGATCAGGTGCCAGCATGTGATGGAAAGCAATTTGTGCCTGTGACCTGAGAGAGCCCATGCCAGTCAGATAAATCAATCCAGGCCTAGGTGGGCAAGTGAATTGCCCAGGTACGTGGCAGCTTCGTAAGTTCCCCTTGATTCTGCTGGATGAGAGAACTGGCCCATGCAGTGTCTGAGGGGAAGAAAAAGCCGTTTCTGTGATCTGCCCGGCCCAGGAAGTGACTGCTACCCTCAACATGCAGGGCAGAACACAGAGCAAGACTGTTGAACCATGGATGAGATGCAGCCCATGTGAGATCCCAATTTAGCCTTCAGGGGTTCTCCAGATGATCATGGCCCTTCCTATGCAGCAAACCCTTTTCCCCCAGCCAACAACCTTACGGTAGTTTTCTGGCTTTGTATTTTTCGTATTTCTCTATTGTTGTCCCTCTCAGTGTTGCCTCACCAGAATGTGGACCTTTAGAGCTTTTTTGATGCTGAATGCAGCCCTCAGGCTGAAGGAGGTTCAACACCCCGGTTGCAGAGGAATGTAACCCCTCTTCCACAAAAAAAATGGTGGCAAGAAGTACCTGCAAGTTATTTGTAAGCTAGTTTTTAACAGTGGGAAAGGAGACAAGACAGGTGGCAAGGAGTAAGGGAAGAGTTATGCAAGAGGAGGAAGCAAAAATGAGAGAAGGGCAGAACTGGTCCATGGGGTTGGGGATGTTTTTAAAAACATCTAGTCTAATTAAAGTACCTTCAGCTTCTTCTGCCCAGTGCCTGCTCATGTGCTGAGCAGCTGGAGTCCAACAAGGGCACATTGAATTATGAAGGGTATGATGTCCCTGTTTCCATTGTTCGTGTGTGTTGCTCCTTTCCTCCCCTCTGGGCAGCCAATGGAGATTCAGGGCTCCCAGTCCTCTCCCTTGGCATGCAGGGGAGATGGGCCAGCCAACTCAGCAGCCTTGGGTGTGCCTTCTGCAAAAGCACAGGCAGAGGCTGTCTGTCCAAGTACATTGCTGAGCTGAGGGAGGTGCCCCAGAATGCTGGTGCCCAGTTGGTCCCTATGGTTGGGCTGGCCCTGCAGTGGAGAGCAGAGCAGGGAGGGTGGCTCCAGACCTGCACCTTTTATTGTGCCTGCAGGACGGAAGGACTCGGAGCACGGATGCAATACGCTTGCAGTGGCCCACCCCCAGGACAGCCACTCGGAAAAGAGGACAGGAAAGGAAACAGATCTGTGTAATACCCAAGCCTGCTAATATAGATGCCAATTTAGAAAAAATGACTATAATTCAAATCAAATATATATCTCACCATAGCCAGGGAAGCTGTGTGCTTGCTCAGTGTAGTGTTAACTGTTCTCCTTTATTAAGAATTCTTTAAATTTATACCAGACTTGGTGAGGCTAGCCCTTTACATAGTGAACACCTTCCAATCAAGGACTGTCCTCTTCAAATAGGGGACCATATAAACAGGACACGTGGCCACCCTATACATGTGCCACGGGGCACAGCTTCCAAGCATGCTGCAAGGAATATGTTTCAGTGCAGTAGTGAATTTCTATAGGCAAAGCTGGTTGGGGTGGAGGGAGGGTGTCTCAGGACACCCCACCCTTGCCTACTTCCCCACTTGCCAACACTTCTTCTAGTACAAAACTAAACAAACTTCCTTTATGATTCCCATTCCAGATCCGTCGGCGAAGGCCAACGCCAGCCTTGCTGTTCCAGTTGTCCGAAACTTCATCCCCTGGTGAGTCTTTCTGAATAGGGAGGAGAGGGGGCTGGATATGTGGGAGGGAGACCCATCAAGATGATCTAAGTGAAAAGGTCAGTGCAGGATCATGTATGAACATTTGAACCTGCCTTCCATCAAGCTGGAACACTGATCCATCTAGGCCATGGGTCCTCAAACTAAGGCCCGGATCTGGCCCGCCATGCCCATTAATCCGGCCTGTCATGCCCATTTGGACCCCCTGCACCCATGTACACACCTACTTCGCCCTGCACGCAGGGAGGCAGCAGTGTGCTCTCTTGGAGAAAACAATCTCCAAGCGAGCAAGCCGCTGCCTCGTGCGCCTGCCTCCCCTCGCCGTGCGTGCCTGCCTGCCCACCCGCCCTCGCCACGCACCCCGCCCCCACCGCAGCGCATGCACCCACACACACCACCCCTGCCCCCTCCCTGGCCCGTGTGCACTGCCAGTGCCACCTTTCCGGCCCACGCCCGGCACCGGCACCTTTCAACTGGCCCCCTGCTGAACAAGTTTGAGGACCCCTGATCTAGGCCAACATTGTCTGCTTTGATCTGGGTAGCTGTGGGTCCTTATTTTGTTCAAAAAGGAAAAAAATAAAGCATTATTATTTTTTACTTGCAATCAAAAGGAATTTCTAAAAATATTTTCTTTTTATTTGTGTCAAATTTTAATTAAATCAATTAAAACCAAACAAAATTTATAATATACCGAAAATAATCTTCAATACAAATGGAAAACAAAATTATCTCAAAACAATTTAAACTATACAATAACAAAGTGCACTCTCCTTCCCACCAGGATACGCTAGAAATATTTTCATGAGCGAAAGTGAATACCCTTCCTTTTCACTCCTAAAGCTTGGTTTACTAGATTGTTTTCTATGTTTGCTTTTCTATGTAAGATTTAGATAGAACATTTCAAAGTGCTTCACATCAGTAACCCTGACAATGACCATGTGAGGTTGGTTGATATTGGCATAATCTCCATATGGCAGCCGGGGTGGAAAGCTGAAGCTGAGACTAGTGCCCTTTGAACGGGGGGAGTGTGCAGTTCAGGCGAGAGTTAAACTGGGAGCTTTCCCGGCTCATCCTTTTAGTTGCTACATTACCCCATCCCTAAAAACAACCCTGCCCTATGCTGTGCTTAGTTTCCTGACACTAATCCCATTCAACTCAATGAGTGTTTATTTGGAATAGACATGTGTATGACTGCGCTGATTAAAAAAGTAAATAAAAATTCTAAATAAAGCATTTCTACTTTTGTGAGACAAACAGAATAAGAACAGAGGAGAAAAACAGAGAGTTGATACCCTTCCTACCCACAAGCCTTGTCTCAGCTGCTTGCCAGTTGCATAGTCTGCACAGTTCATCCTTGGTGCCTTTTCAAGTGTTTGTCCCAGTATCTGGGAAGGTGGTGCTTTTCCTGGCCATCTCTTTTAGAGGTGGACAGTCTTCCAACCGTTGGCAGCATTTTCCTAGACAATAACCCTCCTGTCTTACAGCCATGGCGTTTAGGACAAAATCTACCTATTTCACAAGCTGATTTCCTTTCAAGGAATATTTCACAACACGTCCTCCAACTATGTTTATGTGTCCAGGAAACTTTCACTGTCCGAACAGTAAATGAACTGCTTTTGTTACTTTGCTTCAGCTGAAATTTACCAGTGGCTGTTTCAGATCTCAGGGCCAGGCTGTGAAAGTACACCGCCTCATAGCATGCGCTGGCTAACAGGAAGGCTTGATTTCTGAAACAAGGCCTTTGGGTATTGTTACCCTTTTCCCAGATGTCCTTATGTCTACTCAAGAAGTTCTGCATTTGAACCCCAAATAGTTCTGGCTACGCAGATGTGATGGAAAGGAGCAGCTAGAACATAGGAAGCTGCCTTAAACCAATCTATCCACCTCAGTGTGGTCTACATTGACCGGCAGTCGCTTCTCGGGATTTCATGCAGATAGAGAGCTTTCTCAACCTTGCTTGGGTAGGCCAGTAATAGAACCAGAATTGAGTAATTCTGTTCTCCCCAGCACTCAGACATGCTTTCTGCACATGCTCTCAGGTGGAGCTCAGGCTCTGAAATCACATGGCTCAGTTTGAGATGTGGGAGAGCGTATTCTTTCTTACATTCATCTCACATTTATTGTTAAAGTTATGATGCTTTAGCATTGGAAATACATGAGTTTTAATTGTGATTATTAATAATTTTGTATGAAAACTGCCAAAAGATTTTACTTTGTTATGCTGCTTACAAACAAACAAATAAATGCTTACATGGGTGGAAGACAAGTGTGCCTTTAAACACATACAGAATGCTTCTTATCCACCACTGATTCAAGCAAACAGCCTCCAGGGGATTTGGAAATTAGAAACAAGAGCTTCTGTATTCACAGGACAGAGGTTCCAAGCACGTTTGAACTTTCATATTGAACATGATTAGTTAGGTTGCAGTGGAAGCAAAATACTCTTAATGCCAAAGTAAATGAAAAGTTGGACATCCATAATTGGATTTCTTACCCTTTTAAATTTTGTTTAAAAGCAACTGTGGAGCCCTAGGAATTTCACTGGGTCTGCAGTGCTGGCAGTGGGTTTGGGGAGAGGTTAATACCAGGTGCCATTTTCACAATCAAAATGCTTTCCCCAGGTGCTGTTTATACCATTACAGGCAACATCCTGGTATACTGAACCTTTCCTTAATTTGGCAAATAGAACCCTGGAATGGGAGTAATTGGATTAAGAAAACAGTGGAGGAAAGGATTATGCCCCTCTACCCCAGTAACATGGTCCCAATTCAGTCTGGGCCTCCCCAAACTTGCTTTTAAAGAAATGAAAAACAGATGGGAAATCTGAACTATGATATCCCATTTCTCAGCAAGGTTGTTCTTTGCCTTACTCAGTGCCAGCTTGAGCATGAATTTCTCTTGCCTAGGAATAGAAGGGAAAGCCTAATGTCCTACTGAGAAACCACCAAGCCAGAAAGTTCAGCAGTTCAGGTGGTATGAGCTGGGCTTTGAAACATGTTGCTTTGCATCCCCCGCCCAGCACCTGCTTGAGCACCTTTCTTGCAAGTGGCTGCAATGAAGGGGGAGGTGGCGCTTGCCCCCTTTCTTGCTGCCGCTCATTAGAGAGACGTAACAACCCAGCACCCTTCTGGCAAGTGGCAGTGGGAATGGGGGGGCAGCAGTTGGCATCTGCTGAGGTGGGCAGCCCCCAGCTTTGTGTCACTGCCCAGCAGTTTCTCATCCCTCCTGTTAATGCATGAGAGATGTAGTGGTGGAAATCAACTGAGCAACCTCTCCCAGTGCCAGCCAGCTGATTGCCTCCTCAAAATGGGTACAAAACAGCAGCTGTCAGTGGCGCTCTCTGGTCAGCCACTTGGCTAAAGCAGCAATGAGCCACTCTTGCCAAAAACCTCTATGGTTTCACTCGGTAACCATGACCATGTTTCCCAGGTTTGGATGACACAACAAGCTATTCTGGTGTTAAGAAACCATCCAACAGATCACTGTTTCAGAAAACTTAACGTTCCACATTGAAATAATGTAACAAGGTTTCAGACAAGTCAACAGACCAACTTGCCCAGAAAAACACCATTACTTGTCATGTTGTGTGAACCTGCCCTCTTTCTTTCTGGATCCTACTTTGAGGAGGCTCTTTATCCAAGGAGGATGAGAGTGACAACCAGAAATGTTGAAAAATGCTATAGATATGGAAAGATGATGTTTAAAAAACAAGATGGTTGAATTAAAATACCTTTCTGACACCCACCGTCTTGTTTATCACTGATAGTTAAACATTTTCTCAAGCCAAAGGACTGAGAGACGTCCAGGAAGAAGCCAGGGTTTTGGTTATCTGCAGAAAGATTAAAGTTCCAGAACTAAGAAGTAACCACTAAGAACTCATGAGCCCTCTTTGTTCACTCCTATCTAAAAAAGAAATTGGTGAAACTAGGGATGGGCATAGGAGCAGTGTTTAAGCTCATCAAGGCTCTTCCCACCTCAATCCTTGTTTTTTTCTTTTTCTTGCTCCCAAACATGATTGTGGGTTCTTTTTAAATAGGAAATGAACGTTTTTGTACAGGAAAAACACACTTGTCCCCCCAAGCAGGCACCCAAATCTGCACTCTCTTACAGATTAAAGTGTGAAAATGCATTCTTTTTGGGAAATGCACATTTGAAAGTGTGCATTTTTCAGAAGGGACACATTTTGTGAAAGTAATCGCAAGCATGATGATGTGTGAACCTTTCCTGAAAAATGCATTTGCATTCACACTTACATTCAGAGTTGTCAGTGGAGCATTTTTGTCAATGTTTCAAATGGGAATGGAATTCTCATATACCTGTAAGTGAGGCATAAGGAAGGTGTTTGCAGGCAAGAAATCCAGCAGACACATATCATTTTGAAAATGAAGTGCTGTTTTTGCTCCCACTTGGCACCATGGGTCCGATTTAATTCCATTTGGGTGGACACTGACCTGTACCACTGACCTGATAGCCCCATTTGTCAGTGGGCCCCATGTAGCTGAGGATGAAGGAGCTGCTCTCATCCTGTGCATAATAGATTTAATCTGAAATTGTTGAATAGGCGAAAACTCTCCAGCCTCGTTCATAAATTCAAGCAAATGAGTGGGTGTTACTTGAACAAAACAACAGGGAGCCAATTCAATGCAGCAAGCCACATGCAAAAGCGGCTTAGTGTAGACCCTCAAGATGGTAGCCATGACTATTCACTTGGCTGGCTGCTGATGCATTGCTAAAAAAGAGAGGGAAAGATGACATAGATTGGCATGAAATTTGTGCATGCATAGATGCCCATTCATAAATAATGTCTATAACTAAAATGCAGTATGTGCTCTTGTCTGCTGGCCAAGAGCTACCTGTTGAAGCTGAGCAATTCAAGGCCTCTATCTGCTTTCCCTTATATGGTCCTTGATCTTTAAACTAGGCATAGACTGGATGGTCCTTCAAACAGAGAGCTACCTCAAACTGAATTCCATATCCACTTTTTAGGGTTGTCCAGTCATCATTAAAATGGACCAAACATGGAGCCAAATGGCTTGTTGGATGGCATTACTGCAGCATGATTTTATGTCCAACTGCTTGAATGTATAAACTGGACCTCAGGGCGGCCAACACAAGTATGTTAAGTGACATCTTGGGGTCATGAATATAATCCGACTACCCTTGTCCTAGAACGGCAACAGTTCTGCACATTTGTCTTCTTTTTATACTGACAATGTTATTTCTTCTTGTTTCACATATTCTGCCTGTCCATGCTGCTCATTACAGAAGATGAAGCAACCCCCTACCAGGTCAGTATCATGCATTATAACCAGGAGTAGAAGGCAAAGTAAGAACAAACAGGTAGAAAAGAGCTATAGGGTGCATCTACACTGCACACCTAAACTAGTTTACCAAGTATTTCTTC